CACTCCGGTCCCGTTTTACAAGCCGTCCGATCCACTACCATGGCTCGTGATGTTCGATGGAATGTCCTAGTTTGTCGCTAGTACTGAACAAGTGGCCAAATTCAACGTCTGATCTTCATTGTAGCATTACCATTATTGCGTGACTCGTGACTCGATACTCAATTGATAATTCCCAATCCCGAAAGTTAACAACACGTTTCCAGAAAGTGGTATCAAAACAGAAGCCGGAAAATGAATGATGAGAGACAGGGGTGGTAGGTTCCAGGGGGATACTGCTCAGTGCTCGACTCAAGTCCCTGGATAAGGTTCAACTTTGGGTGTCGGCTTCGTCTGGGACCTTGGCCACATAGATAAGATTGATTTTGACCTTGCTGGCTTCGGGGCAGGAGTAGGGGTGCTTTCGTCCTGTCCTCTCTCAGCGGTAGCAGTTGCTGATTGTCCTGTTTGCTGTGCTTCTTTGACGCCTTCGCGGATTTCAGCGACTGATGCTCCTGGAGCCGCCGTCGTGACGAGTGTCTCTGTAGGACGTATCCTTCCGTCGGTGGGATCCTCGTTCAATCTGGAGATTTCCTCCTCTGTCACCAGACGCTCGTTCTCTAGGCGTACTTCGCGGCCACGTTTATGGCAGTACCAGAGTACGAATAGGAGGACTGTGTAAAACGTTCGCCGTTAGTATGTCAGAGGTAATTCCTAGTAGAAGATACTGACTGAACAAAGCCAAAGACCAGAGCACATTCATTCCCAGGACTGCTGGGAAGCGCGCTCTCAAAAAGGCCATAATGGACCGCAGCATGCCCACAACGGCTGCAGGTTTACCAACCAGCTCCTTCAAACTTGGTACCTTGAAGCCCATCTTATTAGCAGCTGCAGCCGCCTTGCCTACGTTCTCAACATTGAGGCCGCTTCGGCTGGCCCTCTCGCTAGCCGCTGCGAGCACTTCCGGTGCCAATGTCTCGGTCCACCTCTCCGGGAGTTTCTCAATCAGTTTCTGAAGAAAGCCTGGAAGCTGCGAATAGGTCTGCTGTAGCTGCTTATTGCCATTGCTCAGGAGCATCTCCAAGTCGTGGTAAGCAGTCGGTACGCCATTTATGAGGTCCTTGAAGATGAGTGTAAACTTGCGCAGGAGCTCTTGGGTCTCGTCGCTGATCGAGAAGACGCGGTTGTTATCTGCAGCTAAGTTGAGACGCTCCAGGATCTCCGTCATGTCATCCGTCTCTTGTTTCGCTTCGCTGTTGGCAGCGTCGGAGGATTGAAGGGTTTGCGAGGCATTCGGCTCTGCCGGTGCTGTCGCGTCTTTGTCCTAAAACGGAGTCAAGATGTGAGCATGCGTCTTGCAAGTCTTCGAAACAACGGAGTTCACAGAAATGACGTCGTACCTTCTTCTTCCAGCTTGTGCCCCTCCTACGCAACCAGTACCATGGTCCMTTCTTCTTGTCTGAAGGTGAAGTGCTCTCAACATGGGAAAGCTTCGAATCCGTACGGACAACTCCGGCATTACTCGCTCTTCGCTCCTCCTCGCCAAGCTCCTTGAACTCCTCAACCGGGGAAAGTGGCAGCGGGATATTATAAGCCTCTGTGCTTGAATTGTTGACAGGGGAACGGACATTCTCATCACCGTTCAACGACAATGTAACCTCTGCCTCTGTAGGTTGAGCAGTAACTGACTGTAGGAATTGCTCGTCTTCGGCCGTCAGGACTGGGTCATGTTGCTTGTCTGCCTGTGAAGGGCGCCTCCAGTTCTGTAGATAACTAAAGCGCTGCATCTCGGTAGGTTAATGGTAGATGTTATTTCGATAATTCTCTTGGAAATCGAATTGTATAAAGGAAGGGGGGAAAATCCATCAAACGCTCTTAAAAGGGTAAAGATGGCTGGATGAAAAGAGAGCATCAGCGGGACATTGCGGTTGTCCACTGAACTCTGAAAGCAAGGTATCCCTGGCAAACTGCGCAAAGGGGAGAAATATATAGTAGCGCTGAGTTAATCGCCACAGCAATCAATATTCATTCAAATGTAGATTAGAGTTCTCAGAGAGATACTTGGATTGTTAGTAGGCAGGAGTCCCCAACACCAATTTTTCTTGTTAACTACAAGCGCCTATTCAGGAACCTGATTGCATTGTCAAGTGGCTTTCGCACGATGATATCATGCCCAAGGCATCCATGGTCGATCATGTGAAAGAGCCCCCATCAGCCACTCAGCTCCAGCTGTTTGCACAGCCACGATAGCTGGAATAGTGGATACCAGCCACATAATTCCATCAGCTCCCGACCTGATTGGTCCTTGGCTAATCGTGGGGTATAGGTACCGAAGGTAACCAGCCATGGGTCCACGACTTCATCGAGTTGACTAGGTCTTCGATTTAATCGAGTTTCCTTTTGAGATACAATATATCGGGGTACGATCACTTACATATGGAAAGCGTGTCTAGGGTACGAGTTGATGGTGTTGTTTGCGCGAAGATGCCTTGGAGCCATGTTGGTTGTGCATCCTCCATCCTGTCATGACCATAGGCGATATGGGTCCTTCTGTCAGGACTATACTAGAGTGCTGTAGATATCTACGCGAGGTTCTGGCCGAGGAGAAGCACAGAGTGTCAGATCTACACACTGCGAGTTCTCAAAGTTATCCCAAAGCCTCGACGGAGATAGTATCTACGGCATAGGCAACGATTCAAGAGTGCTGTGTTCCTTCACAGAAGACCACGCTGGAGATTATTTGAGTCATTCAAGGATACTGTCTGAGTCATGTATAAATAATGAGATCAAACTGGATGGATGATTCCGAGCTCGTCTGCCTGATCTTGGTCTTGATTCTGATAGGCATCCTTGTCAGCTGCTAATCCCATCACATGATTTCGTCGCTGGTCACTCGGCGCTTCCACTTGAACTTCATTTTCTTGTTCTCCTCTCGTTCTCTTTCCTCACGCTCCCAAGAGTCGGCTATCGTGCTACGTGGATCTGACCTGGATTCTCGTATGCCAAGCTTGTCTCAAGACAGTGTTCTTCTAGTATGGTCTTCTCAATGAAGACCCACAGCCACGAGAAGATACACTTCTTGGAACAGCTTCCAGGACTCCCCACATGCAGCTTGCATGATTCGGCAGCGTCTCTTCTTTTTATCGACAAGTTCGTCCAGTCTTTTCCATTGTGTTGGTTCCTTCTGTCGCTCTTTTGCGTTCTCACCTGGTTGTCTCTGGTGTCTTTTTTACTGAAGTTGTTGGATGATAATGACAACACCATGAATTCCAAACGTTCATTCGTTTCGCGGGATCGAGTGGAAAAATCCTTCAAGTCATTCAAAAGGATGTACAAGGGACATCCAAAGGTGAAGAAGCAGGGGAAAGAGAGCCCAAAGAGCCAGTCCACAAAAGCGTAAGTGGTCTTTCGCGCTTTCGGCTTGCCATCCGTCAGCTATATAAGCCTTGTGATGGAGTCAACCTCGCTCCGGAAAAAAAATAAATTGCATCATTGAAAATGATACTGACTATTGAAAGGCAGTCCTCTCACAAGTCCTATAGTTACATTGATTGTGGGCAGGGATCAGCGATGCTTCGTAGCTCATGAGGATGTGCTATCCCGTTCTCCTTTCTTCCATCCTGTGCTAAAGGACCAGTTTGTAGGTGACAATGTGGACAAGGTTCTAGGCTTGCCCGATGAGTGAGTCTCAAGATTCCCCTTCACCTTCTTTTCAGCTTACTGACATACTGCCAGAGAGCCAGAAATCCTGTCTTGTGTCCTTGAGTTCCTGTACAAGGGCGATTACACCCCGCGCATCGTGCATGACAAAAGCCAAAACTCATTCAGACTCGAAGGTTATCAGGACAGCTCTAGTATCAACAGTCACGAATCAAGCGCAGCGACAATCTTTCTTTCTGCCATCAACGGCGTAGTCCTCCGGGACACTGCTGTGTACTGTGCGGCTGAGAGATACGGCTTGGAGACACTCAAAAGCCTTGCGCTTCGCAAGCAAGGACTTCAGAGAGGCCTGCCAATTGACGTGATCCTGCGATCCGCTCGGTATGCCTATGACAACACGCCGGACTCTGAGTCTCAACTGCGCGCTCATTACCTAGCGATGATCATTCGCGCCCGTCATATCTTCAAGAGCAGCGGAACCATGCAATTTGACATGGAGATGGGCCATAAATTCTACTTTGATTTGTTTGTTGCGATGTGTAACCACATGGATGATCTGGAGGCACTCGAGTAAGTTCTCCTCCGCGCACTTCTCACTTGTTAACTGACAAATTTTTTTCGGCGCAGCCGTCATTGATCGAGCATTCAAAATCGTCTAGCACATCATACAGTGGATCAAATGGAAGAATGACCCAGTGCATTGAACAGCAAATAACCCATTCAGATTGACTGCAACCAGACTGAACATATTGTTTCACTCCTATCTGATACTCACTCTTTGCTTCTACCGAGGTGGGCCGGTTTGTGGTTTGAGTAACCATTTGCTTTACCACTTTTTAATCTTACTGGCGTACCGTGTGGCTTGCTTTCTGTATTCAGATGTCACTCCTTGAAGGCTTCTCCTAGAAGCACTCCGCTCTTGCATGCGCCTCCATTGTTCAGATTGATTGGAGAATGTGAAACTGCTAGGTTATATATGCGTCTAATCTCTTGACGCATTTAGCAGCTTGTTGATATGATGAGAGAATGATCCTTATATAGGAATTGAGAGATTCGGCCCCCTCATTTTGTGCCTGTTGCTCTAGTATGCTAAGCTAGAATGCTAAGCGTTGTAAGGTTAAAATACTTGAAGGTTTGGATATTTGCTACTGATGGAGAGGGAACGTAAAGTAGCATTCCGGTAAATATTAATACATAGAGGGCAGGTAGCTAGACCTGCATTATCATCCTTTTTGTAAAGTAATGCTTACATAGGAAACAACAGATAGACCCACTACAGTACTCCCCGATAATGCTCCAATATCCCACAAGTCAAGTGCAACAATCCGCTAAGCGTGAAATGCTGGAACAGCTTGAGCTCCGCCCTAAGTCGACTTCTTTCTGCGACCACGCTTGGGTTTCTCCTCGACGGGCTCGGCCTCATCACCGGCCTCACCCACTGACTTCCTCTGACGCTTCGCAGGCAGCTTCTCAGACGCCTTGGGCGCTTTCTCCTCAGCGGCAGCTTTGGAAACCCGGCCTCTTTTGGTAACGGTTGGCTTGGGCTGGACCTCCTCTTCGTCAGATTCCTGTTGCTGGTCACCGTCGTCTTCGGTGTCGCTCTCTTGTTTGGCACGGCTGCCCTTCTTGGCTCTTTTGGCCTTGGGAGCGGTAGCCTTCTCCTCGGGCTTGTCTTTATCAGTCTGAGCACGGCCCCGTTTCTTCGACTTGGGAGTCTTTTCCTCCTTTTCGGATGCGGTTTCCGCCTGTGATAGTTTCAGCGATATGCGTAGAATGGGTTCTCGCGGAGCAAGTACCTCTTCCTCGTCACCCTTCTTCTTCTTGGGGGCACGCTTGCGAAAGCCCGTCATGCCAGGCCGATTCATTTCGGGGTCCTAAAGCGTAGGTCAGCATCAACTTGAGCTCCGTAGGATCCATCCAAGACCTACCCCCTTCCAATCCTCATCGTCAACATGTCCCTGCTCCAGAGCCTTACGGATCTTCTCTTGATACTCCGAAGGAAGTTCCTCAAAGCCGTCAATGGCGTCCAGATCCTTCGAGTCACCACTCGCTTCCTCAACGGCTTCATTGAGGTTGGCGATGATCTTAGGCGTGACGCATCCCCTGGCCGCGTGTCAGTTATATTGCGAGTCTAAGACATAAGGATTAACTTACCAGTGTCTCCAGAAGAAACTCTGGAATCTTTCGGTGTCGACCCAGGTGCCGAGACGGAGCTCGCCTTTGCCGATTTTGAGCTTTTCCTCTTTGCATTCTTTGTTTTGGCAGCCCGCTCGGCCGGTTGAGGCGGCCTCTGGTTGATGTTAGTGTATTTGTTTCATTTCCTAGGATAGAGTGAAACTCGAAACTGAGATTGATTATCGAGGGATAAAATAGACACATGAGTTGCTAGATAGAAATAATGGATGGAAGCAAGATTGATAAAGAGAAGCACGATGAATATCCACACCTGCAGCTCCCTTGTGTACGGTTGACGTATGACCGCCACGAGCAATTCAAATCGGGCACAGATACAGGCAATTGCTGACAACATTTGAAAAGGAGAAAAAACGTCGTTGAGGACTTTAATTGATGAAGAAATAAACCATGAAGCATTTTATAGATAGAGAAAAAGCTTACCCAAGCGATAAGTTCCCATATTCTATGGGCAGCAGACGACGACGCGGTCCGCGAGCGATGAATAAACGAACGAAATTAGAGTATTACTTCTTCGATGGAAAACAAACAGAGGTATTGCAATTTCTCCCGAAGATTGGAGATACTGCCAGCAGCACCGATGGAACGGGAGCGAGAAGAACCGTGGAGCAGGAGAGGACGGACACAAGATGACGCAGTGAAGATGGAGAGAAGTTGAAGACGAACGGAACACGCCGCAGACCAAGTCCGCAGTGTATACTCCCACAACACAACACCCTATGACCCAACTAATGGTCGTCTTTAATTGATTGTAACAAAGAATAGTCGTTTGAGTTTCTAAGACCTCGATGATTTTCGTGTATACATCTTGGGAGGTGTGTAGTCAATAAGTGCTTGGCTACAATGTCTTTTACTCCTTAATGGGTAGACGATCTACTGATCCATGAGACAGCTGATCCCTTTGTTCTGTCTTTCTTTCATTTCAATTTTCATTCTACTTGGAACTACTCGTTGCAATACATATTCTTTGGCCTATGTACTCCGAACAATGAGACATGAAATTGTCCTCCTTGTCGACATATCTCCATCAGCTAAGGCCGAACGATGTGTCAGTCGAAATCAAGAACATAGCAGTCTAGTTACTGACTATTTAGTGCCCAGAGCTTGCTTGATAGTCTCGTCGACTGGAAATGACGTCGGATGTCAATGCGGTCTGAGAATGCACGGAAGCCGTGTTTCTTAACAGGAATCGCTGGCAGTGATTGTCGATTGAATATTCTCCAGATCAGTGACGTGCTTCCTCAGCATTACTACGGCTCCAAGGCTAAGACGGGAAACGAACGGGGCTGCTGCATTCTCCTCGCCAAGCTTGTCGGTAGCAGAGGTGTTATTGTGGTGCTCAATCATTCCGACGGCCGAGTCAATAGCCCGGCATAGTAAATGCGGGCGACTAGAAGCATCGTCTCCCTGCCCAGATTTCAAATAATTCCAAATCAAAACGTCTTCTAAGCCAGCGACAGGATGCTGAAGTGCATGCTTGATAAAGATTCGTGTCGTCAAGAATGCCTTTTCTGTGTATTGTGAGGACTCGACGCGACGGTTGTCGTCCACAGCAAGGACATCATAGCCGGCCTCGTCTGTGAGATATTTGAGTGATTCTGAGCTTCTAGAAATCCGAGGAGATACTTACTGTAGAATGGGTTCTTGACCAGCACGAGGCCCATGATGGAGACTAGGATCTGCAAGGCAGTGGACTTAATGGGCGACCAGCTTTCCTCCGGGTTCTTTGTTGGCCAAGTACCTAATATGCTAAGACAGATTCGACCGTCTTCATATAGGTTGGGATTGACCCTACCCTGCCCATTCGTCCAGGAGTGGAAGAAGGAAGCGGGAGGCTTGTTGGGGTAATCTTCAGGGAATTGGAAATCAATCACAAACGGGGCATACTCGTATGGCGTTCCCTGAGGACCAATGATCAGAACACGTAGGAGATCTATCCTAGATTCCCAAGTCCGAACAAAGATACCAGGGGGCAGCGATGTCTCGAGAATCTCATACTCCTTCCGTATACGACTCATCCGTAACCCCGATTTTCCGCGCGAGGATGTTGTTATGAAATGGTGGTCAGAGGGGGGATCACTTTCCAGAACCGAAAAGCCTGGAGGGCACGTGGACGGTGAAGGCCATGACTGTGCGATAGATGCATTGGAATGATCATCCGCTTTGGACGTCTCCAACTTTTCTTCCTGGTCCTCAACGATTTCAGCAGTGATATTAATCTCAGTTACTTTCGGTGCCGTGGAATCCTCCGCACCGATCACATGGCGCGAGTCGTCATCAAAGCCATCCTCGCCGTCGGAATCGTTATCCGCCTCGAACTCATCTTCTGTCAACCATTCTTCGTCGTTGCTGTCGTCATCAAGTCGCTCACCACCTTCATATTCATATGTTCGATCGAACATGAAGGGATTTGACGTCCAGGGGGGCAAGCCGGGTAAGTCAAACATGTCAAGCGGTGGAAGGGGCAAAGGGGGCACATCGTAATCATCATCAATCACCATGAGTATTCTCTCCAAAGGAACGCAAATATCACGACAACTGCTGCGACCGACCTGTCGAATGGTAATGTTGCCCTCGATGTCCACTGAGACGACCCTACCAAGGAAGTCACAAGGGGACTGTCCGTTGTACTCATCATGATGAACAACATAACGGGAAGGTAGAGGGGACGAATCAATCGTGATTCCATTTTGGAACGCTTCCGACTTGAAGAGTGCCAGCTTCATGGATTCAAGATACATGGACATCTCGAAAAAGTTCATCGKAAAGAGAAAGCTGTACAGGGAAGGCCCAGTAACAGCGGGCGGATCACGAGGCGTTGGTGGAAAGACCGACCGATGGACCTTTTCTGGAACCAGCAGCACTAGGTCATCCAATGCTTTTCCTAAACCAGGAAATAAGCTTAGCTCATAGACGGAAACTTGAGTAACGGCATCACCCAGTTCACCCAATCTGGAACCCGGTTTCAGCATGTTCCCCTTGTGGAGCAGTTCGATATCTGGATCTTTGTACCAGCGAACGGATGCTACTCTTTCTCCGCTGTCTACAGCTTGTACTACGCCAACCTTTCGAGCACGATGGGACTCATGGCGGCAACAAGACGTGCGAATAGTCTCGAGACTTTCGCTCAAGACAACAAGGTTTCCAGGCCAGACCTCGTCATCGCCACCACCATTGAACTTGTGCAAAGAGGTAGCGGCCTCGGTCGTGACGCTCAAATCCTGCCACTGGACCGTCACCTCAGTTCGGGTGGATAACACGCGAAAGAGATTTATGTCATAACCAAAGGACTGGTCGGTCGGTATCTGCTTGTAATTGTACTTCGTTGCATCAGCTGGGTTGCGAAAGCGAACCCTATCTCCGGGGTCCACCTCAACCCATGTGTCCGATCTGACTGTCCTTTCATTGAAACCCTCGGTGGGTAGCTTGCCAAAGTCGCACTTCATGGCTGACCCTTGTAGCATTGTTGCTCGTATAACCTCACTGTTATTCCCACCATATGGCGGCCCTGCACCATAGACATTGGGGCAGAGCCATTCCACGTGAATATTCATGGCAGGAGTCGCCAGGACATGACCTTCTGGTTGTGATTTTGAGCCCATTTCTAGAGACCAGTCTCCTCGACTCAAGTTCTTCGAGGACGTCAGCGTAAATTGTCCTGGAAAGACAAACTCAGATTCCACGGTCCAAAGGTAGTCGCCGTTGGGCAGAGGATATGACCTCATGGCATCCTGGTTGCTTGGCCACGATACAACGTTGTCGGTACCAACAGTCATAGGAATTTCCAAAGCAAAGGGATCCAGAGGTGACACAACTTTCTGGTTTTGAAGGAGGACGACTGCATCGCGCTCAACCTCACGCACAACCCCCAACTTTCGTTCATAAACTATGTAGTCACCCTCGGTGAACTCCTCGTAATTCTGAAGCTCTGACAGTGGGACATTGTGGAGCAGAGGGGGTGTCGATTCCTCTTCAACGGATCCTGGAGAATTGCCACGTTTGAGGGCTTTTTCAGCAAACTGGAGTGGTCCCTCTTCTCCTGTTATGGGGTCTGTCTTTCGATATGCAATGGGCTCAAGCGTACAGGTCACGGCGGCACCAATAACTGTGCCGCTCAGAGTGTCATCCAGGTCTCGCTTGACAATTTCGCCAGTGCCTAATGCTCGATCAACGAGTTCAAGATCATCCTCGTGTAGAAGAGAGTTCCCTTGCGAGGGCTCCGAAAAGTTAACATAGACATAGCCTTTTGGGGGCTTCAAGAAATTAGCCTTTGAAGCATGTTGAGCTCGACAGATAACATACTGCGCCAGTCTCTAGAAACTCAAGCAAGTCTTTTTCAGGCACTGAAGAGTACGAGACTATCAGAACATCATCTAGAGGCTGGTGGCTATCAATCTGCGAAGGGGAAACCCCTTTGTCAGCCAACAACCTCTAAAGAAATAAGGTAAAATGGGTGTGAAATACATCGTGATGAGTTCTCTACTCATGGCCGCGTTAGTTTGCTGGACATTCTACAGCTCCACATTGGTGTCACTCACATTAACGATACCCAACAGAGAGGGCTTTGATTTGAGACGACATAGGTCGTTAAGGTCGAGCTAGTAGGCCTTGTGAGTTCAAGAAGTCCTTTAACAGGAAATATGACGCTGATAGTAGTGCTGACCCTCCTATTGCCCGGACTGGGAGCTTCAGTAGACGCTGACCTAGAAGACATTGTAATGAGAGTGAGAGATCATGAAGATAAGGAGGGACTCGATGTGCGGGGGAATCAGCGAATGTCAATGTCTAAGCTAAGAATAAGAGCTGCATAGGGCGCGAAAACCGGAAGACATCAAGGAATCAGTAAAACTGTCAAAATAGAAAGCAGTAAGAATAGATGGTGAGGTGTACAGAGTAAACAGAAGAAACAGTGTTCTTTGAGATGGGGGAACAATCAAACAACATAAGATACCTGAGGCTATCACATGCGTTAGTTGGCCTTATGTCTCTGCAAGTACATGCATCTACTTTCTGATTACTAGGACCTGTTACTCATAGAGGTTGTGTTCTGGCCGTTGACAGCTACCTCAAATTGTTTGGACAGGAACATTTCACGTTTTAGTCATCTCCAGCAGATCCATATTTTACAGCTACCCACCGAGTCTGGAGAGGGGCATCTGAAGATTGGCGCAATCTACGGAGTAGAGAGGGTACAGAGGATCGGACGGCTGATAAAGACGTACCTCTCTAAAAGAGGCATTTACCTCACCGCTCAGAATTTATCCGAAAGTCGATTGAGGACTCCATCTTCTGTTCAAACAACCGTCTGGTCTCGATCGCCTCAGCATACAAAGATATTCCTTGACTGATCTGCGGACAAATTGAGTTTACTTCGAGAACCTTAACGTCATCTTTCGCGCAAAAGTTCCAGTACCTGCACCCTACGTCAGAAATCAACCGGACTAGTCTGCGCGACAGCCTTCCTCCACTCATAACTACCAAACCTACTCCCTTGCTCGATTCTACAATTCAACCATGTCGGAGCCAGGCCCTGAGTCTATCCCTACAAGCGCAGATCCGCGCAGCAAGCGACCTGTCAAACGTCGCGCAGTCACCCCGCTCAGCGAGCAAGCATCGCAAATCGAGCATCTCTTCCGCGACCCAAATAAAGAAATAAGAATTCCCGAACCGTCGAAACAACGAACCGCAGCATCACTTGCTCCCCCTCCAGAGATTGTTGCGAATGTCCAAGGTTCTTCGGCCGGTGCGGGCTCCGGGGAATTCCACGTCTACAAGGCGAGTCGCAGGAGGGAATACGAGCGTCTGCGCTTGATGGAGAGTGAGGTCGAAAACGAGAAGGAGGACAAGGCTTGGGAACAAAAGCGAGAAGAGGCGAGGCGGAAGGACGAGGAGAAAACTGAGAAGAATCGGAGGAGAAGAGAGAAGAGGAATGCGGCGAAGAAGAAGAGCAACAACAACAATAACAATAACAACGACCAGGATGCTGCGGTCTCCAGTAAAGGGCCTAATAAGATGGCAGTTGAACAGGCACTAAGGCGCACAGAGCATGGCCAAGGAGACGAGGAGGATCAGGCGATGGCCGTGGATGGGGCTGATCAGTCTACTGAAACACCAGGAGTGATCATTCACGAGGATTGAGCCTACGAGGCTGCTAGCTGGATTGGACCGAAATCGCCGAGACACGATCCCTACCAGCTGTGCACTATGAAGATACCCATGTAATTTTAGTCTAGAAGGATATTCGTACAGTTTCGGAGTTAAATCGTGTAGCATTATGTACGCATTTTTATTCGAAGAATTGAGCCTTCTAATCATCTCCTCCGGGCATGTGAGCACCACCTGCCTGCTGTGCAGACTTACCACTGCAGATGTCGTCAACGCGGAGCAGAAGGCAGGCCGACTGTGGAACGTTAGCTCGATACGCTTTCAAAAGGGGGGTTCTTCTAGGGCGTACCTCAACTGCCGTCTTGATGCTCTGGAGTTTGACCGCTTCCGGTTCCCAGACGCCATACTCCTTCATATCGACGAGGTTACCCGAGTCACCATCCAGACCCCATGTGTGCTGACCTTCGACATGCTTAGCTCTCAGGCGTGTGAGGACACGGATGGGGCTGGCACCGGCGTTCTGCGCTAATGTCCGGGGAATAACCTCCATAGCGTCCGCCACAGCCTTGTAGGGCCATTGTTGGACACCTTCGATGGACTTTGCGAGCTGACTCAATCTGACTGACACCGCCATCTCAATCGCACCACCTCCAGGGCACAACCGTGGGTGGAAGATGACGTTTCTGGCCACGGACATAGCATCTTGAAGGTTTCGTTCGATCTCGTTCAAGATGTCCTTGGAGGGACCACGCAGCAAAATCGTGCAGGCCTTGGGGTCCTGGCATTTCCGGAGGAATGTGAAGTATTCGTCACCGATCTTTTCGATCTCGAAAAGCCCGCATCTCGTTCCCACGTCGGACTCCTGCAGGTCATCGACACGGTTGACAATTGTGGCACCGGTGGCTCTCGCAATACGGTTGTTGTCGGTCTTTCTTACACGGCGAATCGCTGTTACATTTGCCTTCACCAGGAAGTGCTGGGCAAGATCTGAGCAGAATTGTCAGTTAGTCGGGTCTTCGGTCGTAGTAGAGCAGTTACAAAAGTCTTACCTGAAACGCCCTTCTCGGTGAAAACAATATCGGGCTTCAGGGCCAGGATAGCATCACACATGTGCTTCACTTGTTCCTCCTCAATCTGAAGAATACGGTTCCAGTCATCCTCCTTGCTGATCTCAATGTTTGTCTGAGACTCTCCCTTCTTGTATTCAAGTGGGCAATCGAGCAGGATGATTCGAGGGTTCTCTATCCTTCTCCGCATCTTAGGGTGAGTAATGTCCTTGTTGATCATCACACCGTCAATAACTTCGCTGTCTTCAATCTGTCCACCAGGAATCTTCTCAATACGAGCATAGCGCTTGATGTCGACTTCCCTCTTTCCACCCCCAGCATCGAACGAGACAGTCCGAACCGCCTTCAACGCGAGGTTGCACATCAGTTCCGACCACCGGGAGACGAACTTGGTCCCGATGGACGACTGGATCAGCGTATACATCGCCTTATCATCGTCAATATCCACAGGTAGTGAGACATCCTCCACGATGGCAAGTGCGTCGGCAAGAGCACGCTTAAAAGCCTGAATAATAACGACGGGGTGGATGTTGCGTTCGAGTTGAGGAAGGGCCTGCGCAAGCATTTCACCAGCTGAAGAATGTTAGACACAATCTCAAGTGAACGACCGACAGTAAAGAATACCTAAGATAATGACGGTTGTCGTTCCGTCTCCGACTTCCTCGTCCTGAGTGCGACTGAGCTCGATCATGCTCTTAGCTGCGGGGTGCGACACCTCGATTTCTCTCAGAATAGCATGTCCATCGTTCGTCAGAACAATACCCCCCATGGGATCCAGCAGCATCTTCAACATGGCCTTGGGTCCAAGACATGACCGGATAATGTCCGCAACGCTACACGATCCCTATTAGCATCGGAGTGGGTATATCGGGTCGAATGTCACACGTACGTCTTCGCAGCCGTAATATTCGAAAGCTGTGCCTTACGGCCGACCTGCCTGTCACCAGCATTGGTGTCTGAAATGCACATTTAGTGGTCTGAAAGGAGCGTGAGGTATATGGGCTTGATAGAACATACTCATCACCACCACCGGGGCCTGCATCTTAGCGGTGTTTTTGGGTTACTTCGGACAAGACGGTTCAACGAATGAATTTCAATAGAGTGACAAATATCACTGTCCCAAACACGATTTAAAAGCAGCCGAACGATGGGCCTGCTGAGCTTGAAGACGTGGAGTTGTGCCCGCACCACCATCAAATTTCCAGCGCACCGAGAAGTGGGATTGAAGCTCACCGCCCCCTAATCTACTTTGGGTTTAGTTCGTCAGCAGTTTCCCCTGAGCTATCAGGCAAATCATGTAGAAATTAGATAAACAAAGACTGAATCGTTTTCGACTTGACATTTCTAAAAGCAACCCCGATCAAAACCTATGATCCTCCAGACCTGTAAGATTCCCAGAAGACATAGTAAATATGCCTATAACATGATTACCAACGCCCCGCCAAACAACGACCCAAGCACCAAGTTTCGGCTATGTTTCTGATATCAACAACACCGGGATCATTATTATTGCCAAGTTTTCCAGAGTGAGCAGGACGCAAGAAGGTAGCTTAGCACAGTCGCAGATAATGAACGTGCGCGGCAGTCTTATCAGGCAACGGAACATCTCTTGAAAAATCGGCTCATCCTCCCAATCTTCTTCTGAAGCCGACTTCGCATTTCAAAGATGATTGATGATCGTCTCCTGCGGAACTCGGGACTGCCCAACCTTTCTTCCAAGGGTTGATCTCCATACCAAGTTGCATGTCTAATGTGAGTCCGACTCTTATCATCCGGCTCCGTGAAGTACTCCTGGATCGGAAATGAGTTGGGCTCCTTTTCGACACCTGCATCTGCAATCATCTCCTCATGATGATAGGTGAGGTCAGACTCCGGGGTCCTGGACGCGAATTGTGCCTGGTTGACTGTATCGCCGAGTGTATGTTGAGCTTCTGCCGTAGCTTGCTTTTGGTTTTCACCGCAGCCCATCTGTTGAACGCGTACGTCTGGTGTCTCTCCAAATTGATGTCCTGCTTTGTGCGTTGACCGGCTCTCCATGAGTTGCGACATTACGCTGTCGAGCCATGCAGAAGCATGCCTGTTGCGATTATAAGCGACTGGGCTGCGGAATTTGAAGTAAGGGTTCTCGCGTTGCAGACGTGCCAGGCGCTCCATGTGAAGCTCTCGCATTATCTGCTGCAGATGATGTGGTAGGCAGGCCATGGCGTGTTCATCGAGATCGTAAACAACTTCTTCCTCGTCATCGGTGTCGTAACCAGCGACCCGTGGTGGTTGTCCGTGTCTCTGCCACTGCATTGTGTCGTAGCCGTAGGCGCAGTTGTGGTTGAACTCGGTCTGGAGTCTAGGAGGAGCCAGAGGGATGTAGATTGGCATGATGAAACCAGGTATAGATATGCCTTTTGACTGGGAGAGATGATCTGGGGGGATACAGAGTATGCTTCGAATGTGTTGAGCTGTTAGGTGATCCCAGATGAAGCTGCGTGCTGGGGTGTTTTATAGTCCCTGGGAATGTCCTCAGGCATCAGACACAGTGAAGTAATCATTCTGTATGAGCATCAATATACCTTTCTATTCACTATTATATTTGTGTTTCCACAGAGCTGACCATTGAATAGAAGGGGATCAATCACAGTACATCAAGTAGAAATAGGTTAAGTTATAGATTCACTCATATTAATATCATATTGTAGACCTTAACAATGATATTTCTGTGTAGAAAACAGTTGAATATCTATAAGCTAACATTGATATAACTTTCCTTGACTTGCATTTGTGAATGCATAGTTCAAGTAGGATTTAGCGGTAATTGCATATATAGGTCAGATTCGACGACACCGCTACTCCCTGCAGCAACATTGATGTCCACCTTGCAGGATACAGGAAGTTTCTAAGAATCAGGTCTCTATCTTCAACTAGCCAAGAATCTCACATGACTAAATGCATAAATTATATGACAATGTCTGATAATGTTCAGTATCGTATCCACAAGACTCTATATTACATCATGCGTCAGTCTAATAATTGTATAAAGGTTATATGTCCAAAGGTGGTTCCTGTAAGTTGATCAATACTCTCTGCTTTCGCCAATGTCACAGACGTCGAAGACTCCCTGCTCAGGAATTGAATGCTTCTTCAATGCCTCTCTCAATTTCTTCGGAGGTTCCAGGACGTCTTCCTCAGTAAGCACCCATGTACCCCAATGCATGGCGGTTGCTCGTTTACACTTTGTATCTCTGAATATTTCCACGGCATCATGAGGGTCTGCATGCATCGGACTCATGATAAAACGTGGCGCGTACGCTCCGATGGGGATCAAACCGAGGTCAAAAGGTCCTCTGAATTCACCGACCTGCTTGAATGCAGGACACGAGGGGTAATCATACTCGGGGGCGTGATCGTCCACACCATCCGGAAGTTCAGGTACCGCACGGTATCCAGTATCTCTGAGCACGATATCCAGAGTTAGCTTGAATTAGACGCAGAGGTGTACTAGGGATCCTTGACATACCCAGCGAAGTAAACCTTGCGACCTCCAGATTCGATGTACCATGACGACCACAATGTTTTCTGTCGGTCACGGAGTCCTCGGGCACTGTTATGCTGGCATGGTAGGCAACCGATACGCGCTTTGATATCCGCAGGCTTCGACGCGAGATCGCCCGTTGCTTCCTCAACCTTGGCCTCTGGCTTTGAAGGCGAAAGGACGACATCCCGCTCTTCCCACCAGTCCATCTCAGTCATATTCTTAATTCCCGAACTAGAAAACCACTCTTTGTTACCCAGAGGCGCAAAGAAATGGCAATTTGGATGCAGTTTGGCGATCTCTTTCACTGTTGGGTGCGACAGATGGTCGTAATGGTTATGGGAAATGACAACTGCGTCGATGAAAGGGATGTCTTTGATCTGGCAAGGCGCCTCCGTGTATCGTTTCGGTCCGAGCCAGGAGAAAGGCGAGCAACGGTCCTCAAAGACAGGATCAAACAACACCCGCAGACCGTCGGGAAACTCAACATAGTAGCAGGCATGGCCCAGCCATGTCGCCCTCAGATTGGACGTCTCCCGGCTGGGCAGAAATTCTGGTTTACGGACAGGAACAGTTGGAGGCGTAGTGTCAGGCTTGTTGGCTTTCCCATTTATCTGGCGACTTTACGTGCGAGAAGAAATGGTCAGATCCGGTCGATATTGAACTGTTTTGAGACCACTCACGAAAGGATATCAAAGGCGATCGTAGCTTTGATCGGTCTCCATGAACTGAGCAGGTTGGTCAGTACTGCAATGCCGCTTACAGCGTTATTTTTTGACATCTAGTCTTACTCCCATGGGTTCGTGAATCCACCTTGAAGGTGATGGCTTTTCTTCTGCGCATCATCTGGCAAAGGTGAAGCGGGAGGCGTAGTGATAGTGATAGCGTAGAGAATTGCCGCGGTGGATGAACTCATATTCCGCTTCATTGAGTGCGTTGAGAAATTGTGACCTTGATGCTGGCAAAAGCCAAATAAACGTCGCAGAAATGAACGCATTTGCTAGCAAGCCTACTCATGCGGAATGCTTGGGCACTCTGTTTCTCTTTATCTATCCAACCGAAGCAGGGAAACAGCTCAGCAGACAGATGGTCACAAGGGCAACAAACGAATCAGAAAAGAATCCAGCTTTGAGCTTTTTTGCACAGAGCTGCGCTGTCAGCTTTAGGCGGCGACTTGACTGCCATCATCCCGGAACAAAGACTGGGATGTCAGCGACTAATCCCGCTATCTCCGAGCCTCCGAGCCAACGCGATCGTTGGCGAGGCTCACGCAGCTCACCATTCTCAAATATTACGTGCATGTGAATAAGTGACAGCTGGAGGCAGAGCAATATCGTCGTTCCCTTAAGCTGGCGCCGAGGCCTGTCTGAGATAGTGCTATCCAGATCTCGATCAAAAAGTAAGGAGCCAAACAAGAGTATCCATAGATAGGTCTTCGCAGGTAACTTGTCTCCAAACCGCACAAGGCAAACCCGGGGAAACGGGTTTATCTCGGCCCGTCGTAGCTCCGATATTAGACGCCGTGGGCGGTTTTTGAGATGCGCCGCCACAAAAGAGTATTCGGTTCGCGATTATCACGCTCATCTCCATAGACTGGGATGGAGAGAAATGGAGCTCCGGATACTGCCGGGCTGTCCTCGCCTGGTGACCTAATTCTGCAACAAAGGAAAGATGCGATCCAGGCGGCGGTTCAGCAACCCGGCGATGGCGGCCTTTTTTCTCAGCTCTCCAGTAACCCTTTCTTCACAGCGGTAAGATCAACAGCCTTGGAACTGTGAGCGCGATAAAGGAAAATTTGAGAAACTGACGAGTAGGCCGTGGGTACAGGGTTTCGGTCTCGCTGGTCTTGGAGCAGGCTTGAGCTTAGCTCAGAAAGGCGTTCGACATGGTGCCGCTCTCCTTCGGCGTCGTATGCTCGTGGATGTCGAAATCAGTATCAAAGACGATTCTTATCCATGGTTTCTCCACTGGATGACCCTCTATCAACAATCCCAACTTAAAGCCGCTCGCTCCGCAGCCAGCAGGTCTGGCTTCATGGAAACTATCCTCCAGAAACTGACACCGGGAATGCGCCACCTCTCGATACAGACGCAAAAGGTCGAACATGCCAATGGCGCTATATACACACACTTTGCACTGGTCCCTGGACCAGGAAGACATGTTTTACGTTACAAGAATGCGTTCATCTTCGTCAACCGGATGCGGGAGTCCAAGTCGCAGGATTTACAGACGGGCCGGCCATGGGAGACGATCACATTGACCACGCTCTATTCACATCGGCACATTTTCGAAGATCTGTTCAAAGAGGCTCATGCATATGCGGCCAAGTCACACGAAGGCAAGACGTCTATCTACAATAGTTGGGGCACGGAATGGAGACTATTTGGACAACCGCGGAGAAAGCGCCCATTGGACTCGGTGATTCTTGACGAAGGTGTCAAGGAGCGGATTGTGGAAGACGTGAAGGACTTTGTTTCTAGTGCGAAGTGGTACCATGACCGGGGAATTCCGTACAGACGCGGCTATTTGCTCTATGGGCCACCCGGTACGGGAAAGAGCTCGTTCATCCAGGCATTAGCGGGAGAGTTGGACTATGACATTGCCATCTTGAACCTGAGTGAGCGGGGGCTGACCGACGATCGATTGAATCACCTGCTCACTATTGTGCCGAACCGGACCCTTGTCCTATTGGAGGATGTGGATGCTGCTTTCTCCAATAGGCGTCAAACTGAGTCGGACGGGTACCGCGGCGCCAATGTGACATTTTCAGGCCTGCTAAATGCCCTGGATGGTGTTGCGAGTGCTGAGGAGCGTATTATTTTCCTCACAACAAATCATGTCGAGCGACTCGACGAAGCCTTGGTTCGGCCCGGTCGGGTTGACATGACCGTTCGTCTAGGCGAACTCACTCGCTACCAAGTCCGCTGTTTATGGGATAGGTTCTATGGTGACCTTGATACAAACGGATCTTATAGGCAAGCATTCCTCGACCGGCTACAGGAGTTAGGCCTCATAGAAGACGAGAAAGGCTTCAAAGCCGACCGGTCGAGAAGTACAAGTGCTGCGGCTCTGCAGGGCTTGTTTCTGTATAACAAGGGAAATATGGAGGGGGCAATCGCAATGGCCGAGGCGCTCACACAAACAGTGCATGATTCGGCCGAGGGCGACCATTAGTATGTATATTATCATGACTTGTAAATATATTTGATAGATCTGTGAGCATGCATGTATCTGGACGGCGTCAATTCAAACCTTGCGTGTTTCTACATACACAATCGGAAATGTGAACTCGATGACGCTGGGGGTGCAGATTCACCAGCCAAGCACCCCAGATTGTAATTGGCACTGAGGCTTCTAGTTCTGCCACCCTCCCTGGGCTTGCACAGCCATCGTGATGACTAGTAATTGGGATTATTCCTATTACTTGAATGGTTCTTCAGCAATCATTTCTAAGGCAACTAACCAATCATGACAATCAGCACACAGCTGTCCGGGATAGCCTTTCTGAGTAGTCGAGGTACTGTCGACTCTCCATCCTCTTCAAGACCACGCGAGTACGAGACCAATGGGAGACCAGATCCTTTGCATCTCACCGACATCGCCAAGCCGATTATCCTGTGTCGAAGCGCTGCGACAACAGTCACTCCAGGCACGCAGCCAATCACCCCGCCGGTGAGCTGCCACCCTAACCGCCGACATCACAACCACCAAGATATTCTGCAGGATAATTCGGTTTCTTCACACTAGCCAGAGCCTCTCACATTTCAGACCCTTGACGCTCTGCATGATGGATTTACGGCGTTTACCCGACCTGGAAAGCCCGGAGAATGAAGGGTATATGTCAATGTTGATCCGCCTTTTCCCTGCATGTCGATTCAATGCCGTTTTGCATTCTGATTTCGGGTCTTTTGAATTAGAGCATCGTCTGATATCGTTTCTGCACTGACATTGACGGCTTTGCCTGTGTACAGTGTGGAACAGGCATTCAAAAACCGATTTGCGTGGTGTCTGTTTCTATACCTGCCGCCAGCCGTTTATCCTTTACTTGTCTGGGCCTCGATTTCGATTTCGTTCGGATTGAGAGATGAATCAGTTTCAGTTGTTTCCTCCACCTTCCCCTGTAGGCGGAGGTTCAAAGAATCCTTTTCGCAAGGGAATCAAGAAACCGGCTGCAAAGCCGCAGCCATCGAGCCCAATACCTTTGGAGGACCTCAAAGGCTCTCAGACAGAAGCAGTGCTTTTGCAGATTATAGAGGACACAAAGAAGGTTCAGCCACCTCCAAAGGCACATGTAGCCCGAGAAACGCCACTGTCGATACCGGAGACAATACGTGAACCCGAGTCTGAGTCGCTGTATGATGCCACTCCACGGATCGGGACTGCGGAAAATGAACGCTCGCCAACTCCAAAGACCAAGCCTTCCTTACCACGAGGCCAGGCAGCCTCTCGTCAGAAGTCTCCGCGACCCTCTGAGCCTCCGGTAATTCCTATGAAATCGATATTCCCTCGTTACGATCCGAATATCCCTCTTAGCCAACAGCAGTACTACCCTCAAACCTCGGGCAGTACGGCTCGGACTCGCCACAATCCTCGAGGGCTGACCCTGACGCCAGAGCCAGAAATTGATCGCGCCCTAGGGCCCAAGACGGTCCCTGCGAGCGTATTGAACTTTCCAACGGATATGCTCGAGCCGCTCGAGGTGCACTATTCCTCTGCAGCGGAGCTGAAGAGTCTTTGGGAGGTCGCCAATGGACAAAGGCCGCAGAATCTTATGGGTACATTCAATCTGCGTATGCATAGGTGAGCATTCTGCTAGATTACTATTCGGCTGAGCTGATGAGGCATAGGACTAATCATGCAACATTCACTTTCGGAGATCCGCAGTCTCCGTTTTACACGATGCATACATTCTCGACGGATGAGCTGTCTATTTCCAGAGCACACCCAATGAAACCAAACAGCAGTGTCTCCGTGATGATGCTGAAACTGGAGGAGCGGAAGCGTCGGCTACCGCCCAACGACGGACTGGTCACACTGTTATTCTCCCGGCTGGCTGCAATGCTAGCTATCGGCGAAGCAGAGGACCTAGCAAAGCAGCATGGCCTTTCGTCAACCGAAGCGAGCAAAGTGGAAGGCAACGCGCTGAAGCGAGCAGCTGCACAAGAGTCCTGCAGTCTTCTCTGGAATAACGAGAAGCAGCTGTACGAGCTCCAGCACCCATCCCACTGCAAACAGCAACCGCCCGCCCTCGTCGGCGCAGCTGGCATCGGTGCGGCGGGCATTCCCCTTTCTCCAGTGCGGTCGAAGTACGCGGGGATCCTCCACATCACAGTCTCGACTCCATCGAGCGACGCAAAGTCCCGTCAACCCCCAACGATCATCGTGACGACGCCTCTATCAGCCAACGCGTTGGAGGCCGCCACCCAGGCGGCCACACCACGCACTTCTACCCTTCCGTTGACCGACTCCGACGAGCCGCTGGCGTCACTTGACCTAGGCACAATGACTCTGTCGATTTCTGCAACGGCCATTATCAATACCATCCCGTCACTGTATGCCATCGACTCCCTGGTAGCGGCCATGCTGGCCGTGGCTGCTTCAGACGAGACGACCAATCCTGTGCTGGCGGATATGGCTGTGTATGACCCCAAGCAGGACACGCATCACTTTTCTTCCCTCTCCAATCCCGCCAGTGGGGGCATTTTCACAGGCAAGCTAGTAGCAACTCTCGCAGAACGCGAAGACGCCGAGGAGGGCAATCGGCTAATCTCCAAGATCAAATCGTCCAAGTTCAAGTCCGACGCTCCAACAGACAGCTACGGCAAACGATCTTTCTGGTCGTGGGGGCGCTCAAAGACTGCGAAACCAAAGAGCAAGAACACCAAGATCATGATCGAGCAGTTCGATCTGGAGAAGTACGGACGGTACGGGTCAAGTTCTTCCAGGGATGGACAGAAGCTGCCCGGTCCGACGAGGGGTATCCTCTGGCTTTTGTTCTTTGGGTTGAATATGATTGTAAAGACGCTTACGATATTGGTGAAGATTGTGGCTTGGTTGTTAGTGAGTGTTACTCGGTGCGTGACGAGCGAGAAGTTTTAGTCTATGCCATGATTGATGCTGTTGATACCCTAGTACGCTTGTTTTGTTTGTACATATCGGATTCATTATGCGCATGTTTTCAAGTTTCTACAGAATAATATCTAACTTTGATGTCAATGGAACGCCACTTACTTCATTCTCCACAGGTATCGACTATGGAGTAATTGGGATATGCATAGCAGATGGTGGTCTACATGGCATGCTCTGCGACGCATCCCAGCTTCAACACCTGCCACAGCGAGCTATCAGGACCATACCATTGCCACAAGTGTACATGTACACGTACATCCTACCCGTGCAAGTCGTAGGCCAGTACGCGGCAGATGCAGAGGGCAGACATTCCGCTTCGCCCAAGAATGCAGATCGCGCAACCCATGCAAGACTACACGTCCATTCCATTCCATTGCACTAGATATGTATCAGATAGGCATAATGGGAAAATCCGTCGGAATAGAGCTACCAAGGAATGCGTTTCGTGTCCGCCATAGCTTTGTATATCCGTGACGGCAGGTATATTAAGGCTTTAACGTTCAACTATTCACCAACAGGCTGCTATATTCCAAAAGCTCAATTAACTGCATAGAACAAGATCCTGAGCTGACATGGTTCGCGCCTCACCCACCACCCTCCTGGCCATAACCGGCCTAGCTGCTACAGCTACAGCGTCCAAGCATACATGGTGGGACCACATGAAGTGCGCAGTAAGCCTCTCGCGCCTTCACCTCCAGTCCTCAAATAAGCCAGCTTGCTAACAACCATCCCGTCAGGCTGCTGTAGCCCAGGACGCAGATTACCCAACTTGCACCTCACCCTCCAAGTTCGACTGCTTCTGCGCGCAGCCGTTTGATCCGGCCAAAATAAGCAGCGCAGCAAAGGATGTGTGCAAGGACTCTGGGATCCGTATGTCCATTTCCTTCCTTGCCTCTGATATACAATGAGACTGACGCGATCAAGCAATCGAGTCTATACACAATTTCATTTGCAGGAACGACGATCGCGATAGCGGTTATGATGACGTGTATGACCACGACCACTACCGGAACTGCCACCATGCCTTCGTCTACGACGACGACAACGATAGGGACAGATATGAGTATCCCATCTCCCATCCGCACCGCCTCAGCCAGCCCATGATGCGCGTTTCCGCTCCGGAGCCCAGTCCCTCAGACACGGCTAAACACAACCCCAGCGTCCAGAGCAAGAGGGCATACGCGCCAGGTCTGTCCCCTTACGCCTCCTCGGCCTTTGTTTACCCCGCCCTCGTCACCGACGCCCCGTCCGTCATTGACGAAGAGAGCGACTACGACAAAGAGCTCGGGAGCAGGGTCATCACGGAGGTCCTCATGCACACATCGTGCGACTGTTCGTCGTCGACGGTAACGGCGGCCAGGAGCGGGGTGTCGAGTCAACCGGCGCACCTTCACCAGAGCGCGGTTCCTATGTCAACTTCGTCGTCAGGGCACGCGCACGTTCACCAAACCGTGGTTCCTGTTCCATCTTCGTCGTCGGCACATGCGCATGTTCACCAGACTGTAGTCCCAGTTTCATCGTCGTCGACGCCCAAGCACCTTCACCAGTCCGTGGTCCCAGTTTCGTCTTCGTCATCGGCGCACAAGCACCTTCTCCAGAGCGTGGTTCCTCTTTCATCCGCATCGTTGGCGCATGAGCACGGTCACCAGACGGCAATTCCCGTTTCACCTTCCTCATCGGCGCACAAGCAACTTCACCAGACGGCAATTCCTGTTTCACCTTCCTCATCGGCGCACAAGCACCTTCTCCAGAGCGTGGTTCCTCTTTCATCTTCTTCGTCGAGTCACGCGCACATTCACCAGACAGCGATTCCCGTGTCACCTTCATCATCGGCACTCAAGCACCTTCACCAGACTGTGGTCCCTGTTTCATCCTCATTATCGGCTCCATCTTCATCACTGGCGCACAAGCACCTTCTCCAGAGCGTGGTTCCTCTTTCATCCGCATCGTTGGCGCATGCGCACATTCACCAGACAGTGGTTCCTGTTCCATCTTCATCATCGGCGCACGCGCACATTCACCAGACAGCGATTCCTGTGTCATCTTCGTCGTCGGCGCACAAGAACCTTCTCCAGACTGTGGTTCCTGTTCCATCGTCGTCGTCGCCGTCATCTTCATCATTGGCGCACAAGAACCTTCTCCAGAGCGCGGTTCCTCTTTCATCCGCATCGTCGGCGCAAGCGCACCTTCATCAGAGCGCGATTCCCGTTCCGTCGTCCTCGGTATCGGCGTCCAGTATGCTGATCGGATCACATGCGCACGGGCCAGCGTCTATGTATGTCTCTGAGCCTGTGTCAGTGCCGGAGCCTACGGGCGTTGATGCGCAGCGGAGCGGGTATCCCAGTCACAAAACGATGGCTTCGTCTTTTATGGTGCCTTCGGCTTCGGCGGCGCCTTCGCCCTTGCCGTCGCCGTCGGAGATGACATTTGATGGGGGTGCGTCTGTGAGGATGATTGTGCCGAGTTCTGTGGTTGTGCTTGGGTTGACTGCGTTAATGGCGTTCTTTATGTGAAATTGGTCTTGGTTACTTTAGGTTTAATTGCGTGTGTTGTGTTTGCGAGTTGGATGATGGAGAAGAACGAGACTCGATTAGATGTTACGTAGGTAGACGACATGGTATGAAACAAGTACAGATACGAACGAATCATAACTATTATAATTTGCAAGACTGCTAGACAGAGGGCTGGATCATCTGCTGCACGCGAGGATATACCTGTACCATCCGATAGTACAGATCCGGGTGATCGCGGATCATCACTTGCGGATCCCAGCCCATGGCCACGAAGATGGTTTCGATCCCGCTGCTGACGGGAGTCATGAAGATCTGACAGATCTGCAAGCCGATGACGAAGGCGAAGGCCATGATGACGGGCGTGAAGGTTCCATCGGCGTTGTAGCTCGGTTTAGTGAATTGCAAGTACAGATACGCCAGCAAGGCGCAGACGTACGAAACAAAGACCGAGCCCATGGTGATCACGGGCCCGATGAGACAATCGTTGACGAGCGCGTCGATGCCGCGGTCTTTCATCATGGTCCATGTATCCTTTGCCGCGGGGATATACGCCTTCCCATACAGGGCAATGTGGCAGAAAGCGTAGCGGTTGAACAGCGTGACAAGCCAGTCGAGGAAGGCGATGAAGCATCCGAGAATCCAAAACATGATGCTCCCCACCAGACTGCCCTCTGCGGCCTCGTTCCGCTGTGCGACAGAGCACGCCTGCCGCAGCATGTTGATGATCGCAATGATCAGACTTCCGAAGCTGATGCTGCCGAACGAGTATGTGGTTGCGCGCCTGAACGCGCCCCGCGTTGACCCCTTTGGCATGCCATTCGGCGACTGGCTCCAGAAGTACCAGGACCCGTAGACACCCGCAATGGTGGTATGGATCGTATTCTTCAACCACTCGCTGAACCAATACATGGCGAACGTGACGTATACGACCAACCCGATGACTCGGCCACTGCTACACCCGCCGTCGCGGCAGGAGGGGTTGGAGCCGGAGCTGCTCGGCTCATATGCCACATAGATCGAGACCAGGGTGACCGAAAACCACGCAGCGAATGCCACCGCCACGAGACCACCAATCGTGCTCACGAGAAACACATGGCCGTACTTCCGAGACACGTCAATGGAAGTCTGGAGCATGAACGCGCTGAACGGGATACGCGGGATCCAGCTGATGAAGCAGACGATCGCAAAGACGCCAAAGATGAGGAACACGATGCCTCCGCCGTACTGTTTCCGCGCGATATAGTAGATGCCAGTCGCCAACGCAAACACGATATTGAGAATGCCAGTAACCCAGATAAACAGTTTCGAGAAGTAGCGCGCCCCGAGAAAGTACGCGTACGAAAAAGCGAGCGCCACACAGAGTACGAAAATGAACAGAATAAGCGTATTCGTGTCGAGAGAAAAGTTGTTGGACGAGCCGTAAATGCCGTTGCCGTTGAAGCCTTTGTATTTGGCGTATCGATGGATGGTCACTCCAGAGACCGCGACATACCCCAGGAAGACAGCGATAAACTAGACGCAAGTCAATCAAATGCCTCATCGAGTGAGTTTGCAGTCACTTACGAGTAGACCAGCCCAAATATCGTTGTACTTGGGTCGCTCGATCTTGAACGCGTCGTCAAACCCATAGACGGCCTGATTGTACGTTGGCGGTGGCTCCGCTGGAGTCTTGGGCTCAGGTCCGGGTTGATAGTTTGGGTCGTACCCAATATTGTTCACATCATTGTTGTAGTGATAGGGCTGTTGCTGGTGATTTTGAATCCCCGGCTGGGGATCGCCATACGACTGGCCGGGATTGTAGTAACTCGCAGCCTGTCCACTCATGATGGCATATCTTGGAAGGAGAAACAAGTGGTGACTGAGGGGAGAGAAGCAGAAAATATGGGAAAGACGGTCAATTCACGTCGCACAGTCACATGCAGCCAAGCCAAGTATGGGCAGCAAGGGACGATGGGTCCATGATGGGTTGACTCCTGAGAGTCGTTCCGCATGCGGTCATCGTAGAACTTAGTTACCCAAGGAGATAAGAGTTAATCCACAGTTGGCGCCTCTGGTGTATTTTCTTGCAAATAACCCCCAGTTTGAGGTAACAGAGAGGGAATTAGGTTGGATTCCTGATGGATTCTCTCTTTGAGTGGACGTCATTGTGATGATGTCGACAGGGACGAGCCAAGAGAGCCAAGAGCCAAGACGCGACATTTCCAGGATTCTCAGCCCTACAATTCAGGCCCTCCAATCACCAGCCTATCATTGTCAGGGTCCCGTGGATTCTTGTTTAGGCTGGTGCAGTGGTTTTATTTCTGCCTGATTCATGAACATGTATGGAAGGATAAAAGTAAAGATGTGTAGTGCCAACTAGAATCTGTGTATAATTGTAGTGGTTTAATGGCTGACAGTTACAAGCCTGGATAATTAGCCTATCATGAACAAGTATGCAAGGTGAGAGTATGTGCAAGTACAGATGTGAATTGTTACCCAGAATCTAGCTAGCATTCCTACTAGCTAAAGACGTTTGTCTAGACACCTTTTGGCTGAGTGGTTTGATATATGACAGGTTATATCACTCTTAGCTAATACCAGGTCATAGCATTAATCAACTCCAGCATTTAGAAAGTGGAAAGCTATTCATAAGAGAATCTCAGCGCTACAACTACCCGCACAGCAGTGCTTCTGCCCATAATAACCCGAAAGATGTATAACCTACTAATTAGATCTCACAATAGTCCTAAGTGCAATAGACCCCAGTCAAAATTAAAATAGTAACATTCAATCCCATCACCGTCACTAATAATCTGGCCCGTCAGCCGCCAGCCCTAATGGACCTCGTTTCCCGCCGACGGCCGACAGTTTATGCCCCGAGCGAAACGCAATGGGCCCCGAGTCGGAGCACGACTACAAATATGCAGAAATGCGATGGAATTCGGTAAATTTGTCAAGTAAGCCAAAGAGATGGATTCCGCTCAATCTACCAAATTGGACTTTTTGGCTGTGCCGGCCACACCGGTTAGTGTTGGGGTTTTGGCCTCGGTACTGCTGTTGGTGGCTTTCTTGATCGGACCAAAGGTGGTGATTGATACGGTTCTTAATGTGAGTTTTAGTGTTTTCCTTTTTATTCGCACACAGTGAATACTAATACAGCTACATAGGGCTATTTGTCTCTTGTTCATCGGATTCCAGCTGCAAACGGGAAGAAGTACATCTCGGGTCCGGCGTACACATTTCCCAATGGGCAGATGGTAGACAAGTTCCTGGCTGCGCGGACGAAGAGCTGGGAGTGGGAAGAGCGATATGGCAAGACGTATCGCATTTGGGCTGCCAGTATCCCCGAGGTGTACGCATACCCTCCCTTCGTTCAACATTACCGCATATATGCTAACACGGGTGTGTATACGCAATAGTGTGATAACGGATCCGAAAGACGTCGAGGCACTATACCAGCAGTCTACCGACCATAACAAGGCGCCCCAGGCAAATGCCGGCTGGTTGCTGACCCAGCTGCTTGGGTCGGGCCTGGGGCTGATTAACGGGACTCGCTGGACGGTATTACGAAAGACCTTGGACCCGATGTTCTCCCATCGGACTGCCTTGCGGTATTTCCGTGATAGCCTCGACGCTGGTGCGGAGGAATATGTTGCGGGCATACACCGGTTTGCAAAAGCCGACGGGCAGAACGCAGACGGCAAGGGGATGATCATCAATGCCACGCAGGCACTGCAGCGATATCCGTTTTTCGAGGTCGCGTCCATGTTCTATGGGAAGATGAGTGAGGGAGAGCAGGAGCGGCTGTGGGACCTGGGGCGTCGGTATTCGGAGGTTTTCGCGGCGGTCGTGTCTGGAGGCATTCATCGCTCTAAGCTGACTAGGTATCTGAATACCAAGGCCTGGAACAATGCGAGAGACTACCAGAAGGCGTGGCGGGATTTCAATAGTGAGATATATAGGGCCAGGAAGCTCACAGCCCCTGATACGCCAATTGTGGTCCTCACAGAGGCAGCTGAAAGGGGTGAACTGACACCAAACGAGGTAGGTGGTTGGCCCCATGACTGAATTATATTGAGATTCCTTTTGACAGTATATGCAGGTGACTGACACTATTGCGGAATCCACCTTTGCTAACCTGGACATCGTCACCCATGTTATCTCGTCATGCATTATTCTTCTAGCCGATGCCCCCGAGGTCCAGGAAGACCTTCTCCAGGAGATGGAGAAAAATAAGGCAGATCGAGAAGATTATATCACTCGAAAGGACACCCTTCTCCATTACTGCTTGTTGGAATCGCTTCGCCTTCGGCCTGTTCTATGTAAGTCTCAGTCGCAAGGCCAGAATATCCGCTGACCCAGTCAAAGCATTCACGTTCCCTGAGAATCCACCTAGGGAGAAGATCCTGGGAAATTTCGTGGTACCTAAAGATACGACCGTTATTGTGGACGCTTTCGCCATCAACATACGTAATCCTTTCTGGGGCCCTGACAATCGTGCATATCGGCCGAGCCGGTTTGCGGGTATCAAACAAAATCAGGTGAGAACCTCGAGCTGCCCTACGGAAACTACTAGAAGGCTCATTTGTCTTACAGCTGCGGTATAATCTCGCGACTTTTGGCTACGGGCCGAGAAAGTGTCTCGGGCAGCATATTGCTGATAAGATCATCAAGGCTGTGGTCTATCACCTGTTCAGCAAGTATAGGGTTTCCCTTCAGCCCATGCAAGCTGTCGAAGGAGACTTCAAAGTTGACAAAACCAGCTGGGTCGCGCTGTATGATGTTGATTTGAAACTGGAGGCAAGGGAATCAGGTATTGACAAGACTGAGTCTTGAAACGATGTCTTATTATGTATGAACAAGTGAACATATACCTGCAATAGATATGAACACTTGATAGCTACAAGGGCTCTCATGAGAGAATGTAGGTGGAAATAGATACGGGAGGACAGTCCTTACCATCACAGCAATGGCCAGATTCTGCTGCCAAATCCCTGTAGCGAGCTCTCTTTTAGAAAATAGCCCGACGATGAGTCGCGGTTCATTAGAAATACGGCTCCCGGAGCGTGTGTTGGGGCCGTCGGCGGGTAAACAGCGTAAGCACAGCACCGCGCCGAAGCCGAGTAAGCCGAAGCTAGTATAGCGTTCATTTAGCAGATGGCGAATACAGATAGAATGGGCCTACATCTCTCAACTGTAGCTTTTGGGCAAGCGCAACAATGGCAAGTGAGCTCAAATCAGACCTAGCAAAGTGCCTTTCAGGCTCCAATGTGATTGTTGACGGCGACGAGGCGTGGCCGGATGCGATCAAGCGTTGGACAGGGTATCAGGCCAAGGTTCCAGCAGCAGTAGTTCAAGTTACCAGTGAGGAAGACGTCATTGCAACAGTAAAGATCCCCCGTCCCCGTCTGAATCTATTTAGACTGACATGTGTCCTCAGGTTTCCTATGCGGTGCAAAACCAAAGGCCTTTTGTGGTTCGAGGAGGCGGCCACAGCAATGGCTTCTCGACAATCGACAGTCCCGGGATTGTGATCGATCTCTCGCGGATGAGAAGGGTCACCGTTGACGTGGAGAGACAGATTGTTGTTGCACAAGGAGGCGCAACTATGGGCGATGGGGTGAAGGCAGCTAGTTCAGTAGGAATGGCTGTCGCTACCGGAACTTGTAACGAAGTGGGCATGGTAAGGGAAATGGCATCTCCCATTCAGCCAAACAACCTAATAACGAGAGATAGGTTGGTGCTGCCCTTGGAGGAGGCATAGGGCGGCTTATTGGGCACTTTGGATACGCAGCAGACACCATGCTCTCGATGCGGGTCGTTGTGGTGGACGACAGTGGAGTAGCTCGCGCAGTTGAGGCATCGCCCGAAGCCCACTCCGATCTCTTCTGGGCTCTTCGTGGTAGCGGTCATCTGTTCGGAGTAGTGGTTGAGGCTACATTCCGAGCCTACCCATGGGCCCATGACACATGGCACAGTTGTCTGGTCTTTGCGCCCAATGATGCAGGATTGGTTGCAGAGGCAATGAATAGTGTCCATTATCAGGGAGGTATGCAGGGCCGGCTGGTATTCTGTGCCCCAAACAACCAGGTAAGTTTGTCAAAAAATTTTACTGGAATCCACTGGCTGACTTTGAGAATTAGCCTATTGTTCTTCTCCAAATGTGGTATATGGGACCACCCGAAGAGGCTGCCAGCAAATTCCAGCCTCTACTGGATCTTCCGTCCATGACAGATCATCCCTTGAACTTTGTTGGCCGCCGAATTCCGTACCTTAACCTCAATGACTCCAGCGACCGTATCTGCGGCTATGGGGGGAGAAAGAACCTGGCAGCGTTTGGCTTGAAAAGCTTGTCAGCGGAGTCCTGCATGGCCGCCCTCAACGTCTACATGGACTTCATTACTCAACACCCCGAGGCCGCCAAGACTCACATCCTGACCGAATTTTACAGCATGGACGTTGCGCGGGAGCTAGACCAGGATGGACAAGAGACGTCTATCCCTAGTGAGTTCCGGCGGGAAGTGAAGTATTGGGTCATGCCTCTGGCTTGGTATGAGGACCCTGCACTGGATAACGCATGTGCTGGGCTTAACCGGGCCATTCGAGAGGCATTTTTAACACAGCCAGACGGAACTCGCGCAATGGGTGTGGGCTATGTCAACATGCCCTTTGAAGACGATACCGCCAATGTTGTTTTTGGCGAGGGTGAGCGGCTGGAGAGGCTCCGGAATCTCAAGCTAAAATGGGACCCGCTTGGCGTGGTGCAAGGAATTGTAAAACTTTGAAATCGATCTGAGTTGGTTGGAAGTTGATATGTAGGTTACTAGGTAGAAAGAAACCGGGGATAGTGGCATGACGCCAGTGCCTCAGGCCCAGTAAGGAGATACGACTAGTATTCTTTTCTGCCTAAGGCATAAATCGATAATGGGTCACAAAAAGCATATCAAGTGGGTCATCCCGCTACGACCATGAAATCAAAGTAACACATAAAGTTCGCATAGTTCGCATAGTTCGCATAGTTCGCATAGTTCGCATCAATTATCTTCGAGCATTCTAGTCTATAATATTTTAGATATTCTGTGAATTGCGTCCTGCAGAGACAGCCATCCTTAGTAAGCAGGGCCATACTAGCCCCAAGCGGTTAGACTTTCTGCCTCCAACCGTTTTGCTTTGGTATAGTTTACCTTGTCACCTTGTCACCTCCGTTGTCACCTTCCTGGAACACCTCCATCATTCCAAGGCTGTCACCCCATCTGATGGACCCGACAACTTCAACCTCACGGCTCTCCGTTAGCAGTCCTCAGTCGGGCCCTTCTGGTGGCATACAAAAAGGCAGACAGCGCACAATCACCGCGTGCCTGACATGCCGCCGTCGGAAGGTAAAGTGCGATCATACGCAACCTGTCTGTACTCCATGCCAGAGAGGCAATCGTGTTTGTACGTATGTCAGTCCACAGCCAGTCTCGCAGACGCCCTCCCGTGTGGTCACTGGCAATCGAGTGTCGCGGACCAACCTTCGGTCTGGCCAAGAGGAGATCCGTAGTCGCCTCGAACGGCTGGAACAACTACTGGAGCGAGCAATATCCGGTAGCGGTAACATCTCATCGAAATTGCCTGATGCGAAAGTACCTAGCACAGAAACCCCCTCTGGCGTTGACCAGGGAGGAAGTGCATTGCCAAACCCGAGATGCGAAACTTTGTCAGCTGATGGTTATGATGGTGCCTTACTCCTGGAGGCCGAAGGAGGCCAATCTCGCTGGGTTTCGTCTCTGCACTATGCTCTCTTAGCTGACGAGGTACAACCTTTCTGCTGTTGTGATTTCATGTATCCAGCGCTGATAAAACTAGATCCACGATGTCAAAATGCTGCTGGGAGATCAAGCTAGCGGTGCGCCAGCAGAAAGTCCACCGTCAGACCAGCCGACGCCTCCATTTCCGTTTTCTGGCTCGACCGTGGATAGCCTTATGCCTTGGTCCCCTAGGTCGGCAGAGGATTGCTTGGCATTGCTTGAAATATTCTATTCCAATGTTGATCCGATGACGAGACTAGTCCACAAACCTACGCTGCAACGACGATTCACCCAATATATTAATCATACATACGGCACGAGGACTCAAAGTCCGGTTGTAGAGGAGGCCGATGCACCAAGACCTGACCACACCATCCATACCTTCGAGCCTTTGGCGCTGGCTATATTCTACTCAGCTATCAACAGTTTGTCGGCTGAAAATGTTATGATGCGATTTTCTGCCGAGAAAGAGGCCCTCCTGGCTCAGTTCCAAAGAGGGGTGGAACTTGGTTTAGGGCGAGAAGATTTCCTAACGACCCCGAGTATTGAGGTTCTACAGGCATTTGTACTACTTCTGGTAAGGGGAAGCCCCTGTTTCCAACCGCTTAATGTACTGATTAACCCCCTAGACTTGCCAATCCCGGGAAGATGACATGTCAAGGACATGGACTCTTCTTGGCCTTGTTGTCAGAATGGCTCTCTCGCAAGGCCTTCATAGAGAACCCTCCTTATTCCCCTCAAGTAATATGGATGTTGTCCAGGTCGAGACTCGTCGCAGGCTGTGGCATCAGATATGTCATCTCGACTTCCGTTCCGCCGAAGGTAGGGGTCAGGAACCCACAATAGCAGACGAAGACTACACTACGCTGCTACCACGGAACATCAACGATGAAGATCTCATTGAAGGAGCGCATCCAACTGCGGAAACGTACTCACCTCCTGGGTTTACCGACATGACAGGTCATTTGATTCGCCTGAATGGCATCCATTGCTTCAGAAGAATTGTTCGGAGCACCTATAGGCTGGAGCGGAGAATCAAGTCTTCGGTCGTCAACGGAAATGGTAACATATATCCAATCGCGGAGCTTCAGTCTTTGTTTGTGGAGGTTCGGACCATGGTGGATGAAATGGTCAATCATCTCCAAACCCAATACCTGCAATACTGCGACCCCCAGATTCCCCACCAGCGCATGGCCCTTGGCCTTGCTGCGGTAATTGAATGGCGATGCTGGTCAATTTTCTGGCTGCGAACCCCAAAACAATACCGGGAGGCCGTAGTGTCCCCTGAAATCCGACAAACGTACGTTTGGTGCCGTCTTTGAAGCAGATCACACCTTTTCGTGTCTGGATCCCAAAGCTAATGAATGTGTTTAGGGTATTGGCAAAGTCAGTCAGCCTCGTAGAGAGCCTGAACATGATGTCGGATGACAAAGATGCCCAGAAGTTCCAGTGGCATATAGGTGGTCACGCCTGCTTCCAATCCATTATGCACATCGTATCGGAGCTTGAGACACCTGAATTCCAAGCGCCAAACCACCGTTCCCTCCGGTCTCGCGCATTGGGCGTCTTGAAAAGGACGATGGATACGAGAGGGCGTGAAGTCACGCCAATGTGGAATGTGATCAATCGTATCATCTCGAATTGTCTTGCCAAAAACACGCCGGCTACCTTCCCCTTAACGCCATTCCAGGCTATATTTCCTCCGAATGCAGCGATCCCCGGAATAGGCTCCTCAACTACTGCCCCGCCTCAGACAGTTGGCCCAAGTTCATCAGTATCGGGAGAATCCGCAATCGCAACCCCGTTGCCTGACCTGTCGGAGGTAGGAAGCCTGGACATGCAGGACCCCACCTTAGCGTTTGACTGGGTAAGTGAATCCGACGCCTCGATAGACACTCTCCGCTGACGGTATTGCCTAGGGATTCTGGAATTTTGACCCCACAGATCCTGGCTCCTATTGAGAATTACATTGCCTGTGAGCTATGCACGTTTTCTAGATGTCTACTTCATGCTCCGTGGAAGTTGACACTTGTCACAAAGGCTTCTGCGCTGGTTTCTAGTATCTCAAATCTAGTATGTGGAAAAAATGACTCGTATGATGACATGACACCACTTGATAACAATTTGAACAACTGAGCTCTTGCTCAACGACGGAGTATGTTGATAACTTTCTCGAATCCTCTAGATCAGTGCTTAGGTGCTGTATACCCGGAGATTATAATACATGGTCATATAGACGCCTTTCTGCTTCTTATACGAAAATGAAAGATAGGTATGTGTGCCCGTTGACGAGGACAGCGGATGATGGGGACTATAAAGGTCAGCGCTGACAAGGTCCATGTCAAAGGAACTGGACGACTTACAACAAGTTTTCGACATTCTTGCAATAATTTCTCTCCATGTTGTGCCATCCGAGCTTTCCAAAGAACACTTGTAGCCGACTAGCAATCTGCACATCACTTTCGCAGTATTGTCGGACGGGCAGGTACACCTTGGGCTCGGGGAACCATTTCCCTGGCCGCAGCTCGAAGTTGAATATTGTCCCTGCCGCGCGATGACTATTATGTGGCAACTCTGCGTCCTCGTCGACGACCCCGAAGATCGTCCTCCACAGCTCGTCCAGCAGCTTCAGGCCCTCGGCTGTGTTCTCGTCTGTCAGACGCCCCCCTAGGCAGTAGGCCTCTTTCACCTTCCGCAAAGACGTATGCGGCATCCGCACGTATATTTTTATCCGGGACTCTGCCTCGTTCACGCAGTCGACGCTGATCATCTCCGCCTTTGCCGCACCACCACAGCTGCCCATCCACGCCTCCATGATCGACAGCGCGGCGATGGTTTGCACACCCCATACGTCGCTCTTCATCGCTAGACGCAGAATGGAGTCAGAGACCACCCTTATTGTGCTCTGTCCCGTTTTTAGCGACATGAGAATCGGGAAAAAGTACGCCTTTGTGGTGACACGACCCGCGTCGAGATCGAATGCCAGAAAGCTCTGCGTGGTATGCTCGCCGTCTGGTATCTTCTCTCTTAACGCGGCGTAAGACTCTGGACCAACAAAAAGGTCGTGGCGGAAGTGCTCGAACAGCGTCAGCGTGGCGCCGACTTCAGCTGCATCGAATGAATGCATGAACTGCGTCACGGCAGCTTGATTGAATGGGTCTGTGGCGGTTCCAGCTTCAAAGCCTACTGGCTCAATACCAAGACGGATTGTGCTCTGCGCTTCCGAGTTCCCATTCACGTTCCAGCTCGGCTCCAGCGGGGAAAAGTCGTCCGTCAGGAAAGACCTCCAGGGCGCGTTACTCGGAGACGGGTGCGTCGAGTTCTCAAGCGGCGGTTGAGGTCCTAACAACGGGAGAATATGGGTGTGATATAACATAAGGTACTTGTAATGAGAATAAAGAGGGTAATTTGCCATGGCCAGAAGCTTGCTCATAACAGGCCCGGTCTCTCGCCACCAGAACCCCGTGGCCGAGGCCGGAGCCGGCAGCGGAAGCGCAGCCGTCAAAACATCGTAAGGAGTGAGTTGCGCAAGAGAAAGACTATCCTGCGCATGAAAGTCTCCGTTGGTTAACTCCTTCTGCGTCTTGCCTGGATAGCCAGCAGCGATGCCGTTGAGGCTCGGCGGAGCGGAAACGAGCGATTCGGCCCCGATCGACATGTTGAATGATGTGTAACGCAGACTAGAGACTTTGCAGTAGATTGTTTGCTGCTGCCTTGACTCGGTCTCTCCTCCCCTTCGGCTTGAGCTCGTGCGAGGCCTATCTATATACGGTCCGAAAGCGTGGTGATCCCTATCAGAGCCACGTGTTCTGCGCCTCTCGCCAACTGTCCGAAGACACGTTCAGCTCCTCCTGCATTGCATGGCCCCTTCTGACCCCGGGTCCGTATTGCGGACCCTCCGTTCCTGCGGTACTCCATTGTTTCGGTGGTCTACTTTCCCGGCGTCCGATTCGCGCTGTACTTCCTCCGGGGAGTGGCTCAGCCACTCAGCTAACGGGGTATTTTCCCTTATGCTTTTGCGGCGTCCGATTTGCCATATGCTCCCTCCGGGGAAGTGGCGTCAGCTCCAGCTGGGCATTTTCTGTTCTGTTTTGGGGGCCCAAAGCTAAGACGAACCGGGGCTTTGCGTTGAGCAAACTGGAACCTTGGAATCTTGGAACTTGCTTGGTTCATAGGTGCTTGGAACTTGGTACGGCGTCGGTATGCCTTGTTGTCAACAGCGTGTCATGGACTTACTATGACTGTGCTACGGATAGAAGCAAAGTAATTACCAGCGACATAAACAATGCATTTTGGGCTTGTTTTAACAATTTACCTATCCATCAAATCATCACAGCGCACGTTGCCAGCTCCAAAATACTCCTAGAGACGAAGATATCCCGCAATCTGACCCTGAACCCCCGCTTCTGGCATAGGTGTTGTAATTTCAAGACATCCATACTCTGGGCCCCGAGGTCCCAGAATGACTTTTCAGTGTCCACCGCCTGAGCCTCAAGCCCAAGACATTCACAAACTGCATCCGCAAGGAGATTCTCGAGCTTTTGTTGCCCTGTAGTAGTATCCATCTCGTTGTTTCCGTTGGTCAACCCAGCCAAACCCTCGTGTGGAGAAAGTCCTATAGGACCGTCCTCAGCAGGGCGAAACGACCTCTGGACCAAGTTGATGATATCTTCAGTCCCCATCTCCAGAACCATAAGCTGCAGTGCAAACGAAAGCGCGAATTCCAGCCTCAGCGCGATATCTTCCCTGATACAACCAAGATCATACTCCATGTCAACCTGGAGGTCCTGGCCTGCCGTCTCGGTAAACTCCACTGTGAGGGGGAACTTGGAGCCGCCTGTATGGCGCCACGGGATGGGCTGGACTTCTGCGCCGGGGAGGTCTAGGAGGGGACGCTGGTCAGCGGCTGTGTGGTAGGTTACCATGACTTTGAAGAGGGGGTCGATGAGGCTTGGTTTGTGGGAGAGGGAGGAGCGGAGGGCGTGGAAGGGGATGATGTGTGCGAGCGCTTGTTGGCTTGTTTCGCGGACTGAGGAGAGGAATTCGAAAAGGGAGGATTGGTGCGGGGAGCGTTGGATGCGGAGGAGGAGGCGGTCGAGGAAGAGGCCAGGGAGGGACTCGGTGCCGGGTTCAGTGCGGTGCGTGAAGGGGGCTGCGAGGAGGATGTCGTCGCGGCGGTCGACACACTGTAGGCTAAAGAAGACGGCGGCTAGGATGAGCTGGTGCATTGTTACTGATGCTTTGGATGCGAGGTTGGACATGTTGCGGTGCATTGAGGAGGGGAGTATCCAGGAGCGGGTGAGCCCGATGTAAGTTGCTGCTGCTGGAGGTGGGTTGCCGAAGGTGAGTGGCGAGGGAGGGTTGGAAAGATACGAGGACCAGAATTTGAGGACTCGGGGATTGGGTTGGAGCGTTGAAGCCCAGTGTGCCCAGTCGATATAAGTTAGATTATCTGGTACGGTGGTGGAGTTGGTTGGTTGCGCGTTTGAACGCAGGAGCTCGTATGTCTTGGAGACCTGGTTGAGATAAGTTGCCATTGTGGCTGCGTCGCCGACGACGTGAGACATGACAACTACCAGCATGGCTTGCATGGGGGTTCCTATGATAATCGAGACATCTACTGGTGGTTCTGTGCTCAGATCAAAGGATTTGGTGATTCTCCCGTGGACAAATGAGCTGAGGTTACCGGTTTGGACCACGCGAGGCACCTTGACAGCTGCTGGAGCCTGTTGGCGAAAGAGCGTACCGTCAATAACGGAGTACCTGCTGCGAAACACTTCAGTATCTGACGTAACCCTCTGGAACGCGTCTGCCAGGGTTTCGGCGTTGATATCGCCCCGAATCTTGCAAACGAAGTTCATGTTTCCGGCCGGCGAGCCGCCAGATATGAGGTGGTTGAGCAGCATTTCTCTCTCGAGGTACGAGAGTGGAAGCTGGTCGTCGCGCGGTACCGGGGACATCGTGAGGAACGGCGTTGTTGAAACTGTTCCTGCGCGGCCACTTACAAGCTCGTCGATGGCAAGAGACAAGTCTCCCAGGCTATGATGGCGAATTACTTGTTTCAGTGGCAATGGCCGGATATCCCAGCGTTTGGAAATGGCTTGAGCGACTTTGATCTGCAGTAAGGAGTGGCCTCCGAGCTCGAAGAAACGGTCACTGAGACTGATGGGCATCCGGTTCAGGTCACGCCCAAGCACATCTGCCCATATGGCCGCAAGAGTCCGTTGCGTGTCGGTCTCGAGGTCTTCAACGACAGCACCATCATTTTCTTGATCTCTCAAATACCTCTGCAATGCAGACGAGTCGACCTTGTTATTTGCCGAGGAAGGAAGGGTCGCAAGCGCGATGATTCGATTTGGGACAGCGTACTGTGGGAGCTGCGACTCCAGGCTTTTGGCTAAGCTCTTGACGTCAATGGTCTCAGGCGTCATAAAGGCAATCAGATTTCCATTAGACACAATGAGTGCGACGTTTTTAGCCGCTGAGGCTAGTCTGGAGATGGTGCTTTGGACCTCCCCAAGGTCAATGCGAAAACCGCGAAGTTTGATTTGATTGTCTTCTCGTCCAATATACTCGATATTTCCGTTCTCTAGTATCCTTCCAATATCGCCTGTCCGAAACATAACTGGACCAGGGTTAAACGGGTCGCCAAGGAAGCGTTTGGCTGTTTCTTGCTCGTTGTAAAGATACCCCGGAGTGACCTGCACTCCCGAGATATAGATTTCCCCGCTGACTCCGATTGGTACGGGACGTCTGTTGGAATCCAGAAGATAACATGACAGGCCCGGAAGTGGTTTACCAATTGACACCCTGCTCCCTGGGTGCAGAATTGCTGTTGTAGATATCAAAGTGCACTCGGCAGGACCGTATCCGTTGATCAAAATTCGTCCGGCAGCCCATTTGTCGTTGAGAACTTGGGATACGGCTTCTCCAGCAACAGTAATTACCTTCAGGTTGGGAT